TGTAATATAATACAGAGTATGTATTTGATGTAACAGTGTGAAATGCAACACGACACCGAGCGTTATTGTAGCATATCATTCGGTAAATGTCTGCCGTCTGCCGTCTCATGAACGGATTTTACGTCGCTCCCATGCTGCGTCCATGGAAATTTCTCAAGATTCGCCTAGACGCAGCGTAGACTACGATTAAAACTTTTAAATTTGTCCGAAAAATCGTCACCCGATTACGAAATCGACTAGGTAACCCACTTTTACTCCAAACACAGGGGGTGCTCTGCATAGAATTGGAACAGAAATATTATACCGTGGAAACTCTAGCGCGCTTTTCGTTCGACCTTTCAGTCGGTAAAGTCGATATATTTTTGTATCGAATAGATAATTCCATTTTTGTATGAACGATTTTATTCAATGGAATAATTCGCGTAGAAAATTTTCAGGGATCTAATCGGGATCCACTCCGCTTTCGCAAAATAATGATAAGCTCTGATTGGGAGATCTACGAAGATTTGAATCAAAGGTATAACGTTTCAAAATGCGACTTTAAGTAAGTAACTTTAAGTAAATAGATCTTATTTTCTCTATCAAGCGTCTCTTCTCGCAGTCTCCTTTTTATCAATTTTTACTTCGCATTTATATCGAACCAAATATCTAAAGTGCCTTGTGTATTTACGTACACTGTGCATGTATAAATATTAAATGAACGTAAATTATTCAAACTGTTTCAATCTCTTTTTGAAACTTTTTGAAACTTTACTCAACCTTTTTTGAAATGAATTGTAAGTGCCTTTAGTAAAATGACACATTTTATACTTTTATTTTAAATATAAAACTTTGACATTACGTTAAACAGTCAAATGTATTGCAATTATTTGTAATGTTTGTAATTATTTGCTTTTACGACTAATTGATTAATTTATAAGATGAAATATCAAAATAAACTTTACACTTTGGAAAACAAGCAAATCTTATTAAATGTTAGAGTACAAGATACATTTTTTTAATAATAACGTTAATAGTAATCATACATTTATACAAAGTCAGAATTACAGAATACATTGATATGTTCATTAAGTTTATACTGTATAATTTTTTGTGTGAAATTTATAACGCACTCGTATCTACATTTTTTTATAATTAATAAAAATTTTCAATATGCCAACCTTTGCTGCAAAAAGAAGAGTGTACTTTTTTCACAAAAAATATTTCCTGGCATAATATTTATCTCGCAATACAATGTAGCAATTACACGATGTAACGTTGAGAATAGGTAACACCAAACTTTTAAATTATCACTCATTTTAATCTTATTACTCCTTATATATGTATGTATTCAAAAATTGCAACAGGAAGCATGTCATGTCAACCATTTATAATCGAAATGCACTTCAAAGAAATCGACCGAAAAAGGAACCGGCATTGTAATTGCTTCCGAGTTTACAATACGTTACTTTGATTTTTCACATTTAATAACATACAATAATATAATTATGGAAATTAAATACAAGTAAAATATATAAATTAATTCCGTAGAAAAAAATAAATTATGCGTTCAAAGGCACCGATTGGTAAAAAGATATTTAAACAATTACGAAAAAGTTTCATCAAAAATTCATTATAGGAATAATCAATTAATCTGTGAGACAAAGTACCAAAATAAACTTTACTTTTTTAGAAAACAAGCAAATCTTATTAAATGTTAAGATATAACAAAACACATTTTTTAACAACGTTGACAGCAATTATATATTTTTACAAAATCAGGATTGTAAAATGCATTGATAATGTCCGTTAAGTTTTTACTGTAACGTTCTAATTTAATTAATTTTTCAATTTATTTACAAATTTTAATAATCTATTTTTATGTTAATATTGTTGTAAATTATAATGAATCTGCGAATATAACTGCACTGAACAGAAATATAAAATATCAAATAAAATAGAAAATAAATAGGAAGCAGAAACTAGAAACCAAGAAAAAATTGAAGAAACGTTGAAGCTAATTGAGTTTCTTACTTAAAATCGTAAGTATATTTAATTATAAGTAGATTTAATTTGGAAGTCGGGATAGATCTCAAAAATTTTATAGCTGAGATAAGAATGGGATTCCCAAATGATATCGTAACATGATTCACTTATTTGCAACAAGTTTGTGAAAACTGAACGGAATCTATATCATATTTGAGAGTGTTTGGGAAATTTCTATACGAGTGAAAAAACCCAAGTATAAAATAATGACTAAAACATATTGCGAAAACGTCGGATTCTTCATTCGATATCGCTTATTTGAAATATTCTCATGCGAAAATGTCACATATATTCCCAAATACAGCATAGATTCCGATCAGATTAGTTGAACATGTTCCAAATATCTGTCGCACTGCAATACGATTTGGAAAATTCCATTCTTACCCCGATTATTGATACAAAAATGGAAACATACATCGAGATGGATTTTGTATTCGTTTCCAAGTAAAAAATCTTTTGGAGTCCATTTAAGATCTAACTGATATCTAATCAGTACAAAAAATATCGTATTTGTACTTTAAATATAAAACTATAAGTAACATCATGTAACATGAAAAAGCCTGCTATATGTTGCTTCATTCCAGATATTTATAATTTATTTCAAACAGAAATATTTGAAACAGCTTAAATATCAAACTTGTAAAATGTGCATGACTGCATCTAAAATGTTCCCGACATCTTGTTAAAGAATACAGGTATAAAATAGAAATCAAAAACGAGAACTTTGGGAAAACGTTTGATAGAAAAAATGGGATCTATTTAGATTTTCCACTTAGAATTGCGTGTTTGAAATGTGACACCATTAATCCGATTTTTCGTGGATCTCCCCAGAACCAGAATATATCATTTTTTGTAAGACCGAAATAGATGCCAATTAGACGCAAAAATATTTTTTTGTACAGGAACTTGGACTTGCATAGACTTGAGGAAGCTGGACCGCATCCCAATTAAGTCTCAAGAAATGTTCCATGCTTGAGATGTCCTTTCGTAGTAGAGAACCAACGTCATTATATAAAATCTTATCTCCACTCCTCTCCAGGTTCTCTTTTTCTTATTACTCTTGTATATCATTTGTTTGGTGAAGTGCGCTTAATGAACTAATTGACATTTCCCGTTGAGACAATCATGAGATATGCAAGCTGCCAATAATAGCGCGTCCTTGTAAAACGAAGTCAAGATAATGTGAAATATCACCGGCGACTTGATGAACCTGGCTGCAATATTCAGCATATCAATGTGTCATGTAGAACGCAAGATGGTTAAGATGAAACAGACGACACTGTTAATGTTTCAAGATATAATAAATGCTGAAGACGCGACCGGATTTTGCGAATGGAAGAGCGACGGTACATTTTTATTCCTACCTGACTGTATCGTAAAAATTACGGAGAGTACAGCTCAACTATTACTGTGATCAAAAAGTACCCGAATTTTATTTTTTTAAACTCACGGATAAACTGTAAATCAAATCCGTTTGCTTTCTTAAGTTGGTACACATGTCCTTCACACGTGGTGAGAAAATCATGGCGTTCCTTCAAGACGTTTGAAAGTTATTTGTGTCAGTGAAGATTGTTGTGCGCGGCGATTTTTATGATGTCGAAAAACATGGAATAAAAAATTGGTTTGAAATTTTGTGTCGCGAACGAAATTTCGTTCACAAATGCATACAAAATGTTGCAAAAAGCTTATGGCGATGATTGTTTATCGAAAACAAGTACGTTTGAGTGGTTTAAGAAGTTTTAAGAAGGACGAGAATCCGTTGAAAACGACCCACGCTCTGGAAGACCATCAATGTCAACGGATGACGCTCACATTGAGAAAGTGAAAGAATTGGTGCTCCAAAATTGTCGATTGACTGTGCGAGAGATAGCAGATAAAGTTGAAATATTATTTGGATCGTGCCAGCATACAGTCCGTAAGAAACGACCGGAATTGCGGGAAAACACCTCGTGGATTTTGCATCACGACGACGCACCATCGCATACCTCGACACTTGTGCGTGAATTTCTGATAAAAAACTCACCGAATGTCGTTCCGCGAGCATCGTATTTATCAGACATGGCGCCCTGCAACTTTTTCCTGTTCCTCCTACTGAAAAAATCACTTCGCGGACAGCATTTCGAATCGATTGAGGACATCAAAGAAAAATCGCTGCATGAATTGAAGGCCATACCGTCTGCCGCGTGTGAGCAATGTTTCCAGGACTGGATCAAACGCTGACATATGTGCGGTGCAAGCAATGGGGACTACTTTGAAGAAGACTATAAGAATTTTGATGATTGAATGGTAATTTTGATTTTTTAAAATAAAGTTCGGATACTTTTTGATCACAGTAGTATATCTTACGAGGTATCTTGTATCAATCGACCCCCGCTGCTCGTGGCTTCCAATATCGGGAACCGATTCGACACAATGAGCGCTACCGTGAAAAACTCCTCCACCGAGCGGTTTGCTTCTTTAATCACAAGGTGTTACGACAATGGCAATTATGGCACGGCGCGATATCGACTCGGCCCAATTTCGCGTGCGTAGCGTTTTAAGAGGCGCAATCGATATCCGAGCTGTGTACTTTAACAAATCTACAGCCGGCTCATTCCTTGATACACCCTCAAGTGACTGCGACGTTTGAGGGAATGTCCGACCTAAAATACGAAGAATCGAGAATGTCTGCGCGAAAGCGAAGTTTCGGCCCTAGCGCGAAAGTTTCCCGTCCGAAATTCCGACGATGGCCGCGGAAGAGATCGACCGGCGGAAGCCGCCGCTGCGTGGAAAAATCGAAGTCGCGGCGCGCGCGGTGCATGATGGAGTTGTTATTCTCCATTTCTTCGGGAACAGTGAAAGTACACTTCCGAGGACCGTTAGATAAATGAAGATAAGGCGAGGGCGTGGGCGGAGCGTGTGTCAAAGAGAGCTACGCGAGAGAGAGAGAGAGAGAGAGAGAGAGAGGGGGGGGGAGAGAAAGGTTCAGCCCCTACCTGGTTGCGTTTTTTGCACTTTGTATGCCAACGACGTTTTATATCCCGCTGGGCTGCCAGCTAGCTGTAAAAACTCGCCATGTAGTAGAAGCCGCGCGCGCGCGCGCGCACAATGTAATAAACTCACTTCCAGGACGAATAACGAACGTTATTCACGGGGGACACAGCCGGCGGCCGGTGGTGGCTTTCTTTGAGCGACGCCGAGACGTAAATGCGAGACTTTTCCCGGCCGGCGAAGTATCGTCGTCGCTCCTCCTCTCGCGACGACGACGTATCGTTCTTTAACACGGTCGAGGTCAAAGATGCGCCGCTTTATCTTAGCAAACGCGGATCTCTGTGACGCGAGAGACTCCGACCAGTATCCCCCCTCGGCCCCCCCAGCCTCCGTGTCGCTCTTTCTCTCGCCTCTCCGTTTGCCTCTTGCCGTTTACCGAGTTCCATTATTGCTCGGGATTCCTCGTTATTGGCCTCGAGTGATGCTCATTGTGTTCTTTGGTCTCTTTGATCGCGTTGCACACACGCGCGTATCGGAGCGTCGGAATCCGCGCGCGTAATTTCCAAAGCGCAGAGGCTGTTTTTTCTAATCGATTCGCAGTTGATTTTAACGGCCGCGCGCTGTCGTGATAATGGCGCTTTCAACGGCGCGCGTAAAAAAAATGAATAACGACGCGCGTTACTTATTTAATTTCAACTCGCTCTGAATTTCCGTTTTCCTTTCTCTCTCTCTCTCTCTCTCTCTCTCTCTCTCTCTCTCTCTCTCTGCCTCTCTCCTTTCACACGTGTTGCGGCCGCGGACGTATTTGAAAATTGAGTATCGCGAAATTGCGAGAAAGTTGCGAGAGCGCGGCTCGAACCAGCTTTGTGGATTAAGCAAAAAGAAGAGAGAGAGGGAGAGAGAGAGAGAGAGAGAGAGGGGACGAGAGAGAAACACGATTACATATTGGTTTGAGGGGAAAAAAGGATCGACGAGCACGAACAGCAGGAAATCCCTGCACATTTAATGAATGTCCCCTCCCCCCCCGCTCACGTGTGTCCGTCGTGTGTCGGACAAAGTTTCCTGCGCGGAAAAAGATTCGAAACATTTGGAATGGTTAGTCAAAGAGATCGAAGAGTGAGGGAGGGGGTCGGCGCTCGTTAAACCGAGTTGCTTAACTGACGTGTGCGATGTACGTTTTTATTATTGGATTTTACGTTTTGCGAACTGTAATCCGACACGACTGCGGATCTCGTTGACTCGCGCGTGTATTACAAAATCTGTGAATGCGAGCGGCGCGCGTGCGTACGTGCATGTGTGCGCGTGTGTACTCGAAGCTGGTCAAAAGCGTGTAAGGTAAGCGATATTGTGCGCACAGGCGTATTAAGTATCGCGTGTGCTTAAGCTTCCGGATATCGACAATAATCCGCGATATAAACGCGCGTTTTCTTCCCCCTTCCTTTGCGAGGGATCCCGTTAAACGACACAAACCACGACGAGATCGATAAATACCAATTATGCAAAGCGTCCCGCGCGCGCGCGTGTATATGTGTGTGTGTGTGTGTGTGTGTGTGTGTGTGTGTGTGTGTGTGTGTGCGCGCGTGCAAATACAAATGCACACGTATCGCCCGTTAAATCGCGGGTAATAAAAATGACATACGTAATTACGCGTGATTTAACGAGCTTTGAACGCGCACCGACGCGGAATGCGGATATCGCGATAGGGGGAGGGAAAAAAAAGCAGGGAAGGAGAAAAGGGAGCGCGCGGGGAAGAAAAAAGAGGAGAGCAGAGCGCGCGGGGCAAATAAAATGTTCGTATCGATCGTCGCGTGGGGTTTTAATACAACAGATATTGATAAAACGTCACTCAGGGCTCAAATATCGCTCACGCTAAAGCGATAACGGCACGTAAAGTTTTTATTGGTCGTCGAACGAAATAGTCGCGTCGGTGAATATTGCAAGCGCGCGCGCCCCCAAGTTTCGCGCTGCGGAAGATCTGATAAATAATTCACGTGCAGTCTTCCGTGGAAAGCTCCTTCGATATGTTCTCGCGCCCCGGCGTCTATTTATTATGCGAAATATTATCGCCCCGCTCGCTCACTCGCTTACGCGCGTGCGAGCGTGCGAAGCCATTTGTTGTTTCTGCGGATAAACAATCGCTCGCGAGATAAATAACGCGATGCGCGCGCGCGCGCGATTACCAATACCGAATTAATCAATTTCGTTCCACGCGCGCGCGCGTGCAACACAACGATCCGCACAATGACGGGGAGGTAGCCGCGTACGAATTATTAAAGCGATTATTACGGCGTATAATCTTTCCGCCAGCGGAATTATTTGCCCGTAAAGAAGCCGCGTATATTAAAACACGCGGTGTTTTGCCGCCCGCCGGCGAATGTTGTTCGGCGCGACCGGCAAGAGCGCGCGTTAAGTAGAGAGTCTGCCCTTTATGGCCGCCCCAAACCGCTCGGGAGCGCGAGAGATTTAATTGCCCAAGTTAGCTGGCCGGCAACTTTCTATCTTGCGCGCCAAAGGTCTCGCATCAAAATGTTGAACGCGCGCGCGGCGCGGCGCGCGACATGCCGTTCTCGCTCGCTCGCGTCGCGTTTAATCCGTAAAGTGTGTGCGAGCGCTGCTTATAAGCAGCCGATGTGCTCGACGCGCATTGTGCGCCGATGGGCGTTTCCTCATTTGTCAGTGTAACATTGCACTCTGGGCAATGGAAACTGGAAACTGAAAAAGTGGCCAAAATATTAAGTGTTGCAATTTTTATGAAATGTGGTAGTCCGAGGTTCTCGGGGTTGCTGATCCCGAATCCGTACTCAAAATTCCGAAATTCAAAATAGCGGATCCAATATGGCGGACGAAATTGCTAAAAATATTCCGACGGTCCAGCAATTTGGTACTAAGAGGTTTTCGAGGTCGTTAATTTCGAATTTATACCCAAAATTGAAAAATGCAAAATGTGACTGTGTAGCAATTTGATACTAAAAGGTTTAGCCAGGCTGAATTTTTCAATTCAAATTTATCAGCCTTTCTGTTAGTCGCGTTGAACTTTTCATTGCGTCTGGTTCTCAAAGATGACACACAGGCCTTCAGGTGATCTAAATCATCTTTTCTCACATTTTTTGAATCAATTTTTAGCTTTGTCAAAATGTAATCAACACCCAAGTGTCTATCAGAATCACTGGGAATTTTGTCAAGAACTTCCCTTTTTATTAGTCTCGACATATTTATTTTACGAATTCCTATAAGATATCCACGAAAGCGCAAAAAAGACACCGACTAAACTTCAAATATACATTGGAAGGAATGCTATGAAATCGTTTTAGGCTTGATGGAGCTTGTTATGGCGTATTATCATGATTCGACAGTGTATATGATACTATAAAATTCAATAAAGCAGATATACAATGGACCAAAACAATAAAATTTTTTAATTCTCGTGTTCATAGGGATATTTATATGATAAGTGTATATGCAACATTGTTAAAAATGAGAGGAAAATATTGAAATTTGTGTAATGTAGTCAGAATTATAAAATAAAAAAAAAATTTATTACAGAAAATTAGCTAGACTTATGAAGATAACCATAATATATCATAAAGGTAAAGTCAGTATGCTTCTTTACTCGAAATTTTGCAACCAAATTTTGGCCATTTTTTCTAGTCTCCTGGCCCAATGTGCATTGAAATTTGTGTAATGTAGTCAGAATTATAAAAATCTTAAAAAAAAATAATTGTCCTTACTTACAGGAAAATTCTTAGGCTCAAGACGTTGTTAATGGAAGATTAATTAACCAATCAATATAAAAATTTTTATCAGTTTTAACAGTGCTTTGACTTATGTAGATACCAGTATCTACATAAAGGTAAAGTCAGTATGCTTCTTTACTCGAAATTTTGCAACCAAATTTTGGCCATTTTTTCTAGTCTCCTGGCCCAATGTGCATTGAAATTTGTGTAATGTAGTCAGAATTATAAAAATCTTAAAAAAAAATAATTGTCCTTACTTACAGGAAAATTCTTAGGCTCAAGACGTTGTTAATGGAAGATTAATTAACCAATCAATATAAAAATTTTTATCAGTTTTAACAGTGCTTTGACTTATGTAGATACCAGTATCTACATAAAGGTAAAGTCAGTATGCTTCTTTACTCGAAATTTTGCAACCAAATTTTGGCCCAATGTGCATTGTAATGTGCGGAAATAAGGCGCCGGGACGGCCGGTGTCGGCGCCTCGGCGCTACGCGCGCAAGAATTTGTCTCGCTTTTGCTGATCGCCGGCGGTGCGTTTGAGGCTCGGCTCTACAGGAGACCGTGAGGTGTTCCCAATTAGCGCTGTTATTAATTATAGATGAAGCGAGAGTCGACTAAAAGGTAAATACAGTCGGATAAACATGCAGCCGTATTGCGTCGTCGTGAGACGTAATAATACAGCACTGTCGTTCCAATTTCAGCCAATCTCAGCCATTTCGCTTAAAAATATATCAGCTCGTACGTATTCATGTTTATCTGAAATACATGCACGCGTGTGTACGCGCGCGCGCGCACATTCCAAGTTTTATATATTGTCGGCTCTAACGAGAGACGCGAGTAAAATTAGAGTCATGGCAGCTGCGACGAGAGAACGTTTGGAGCAGAAGTTCGCGCGGCTATTTATTCGGTGATATTAAAAGTTGATAGATGACATCGAGTGTCTATCGTCAGATTCGCGCAGTTATCTTCTAACTCGTTGGAAGTTAACAGCACTATTAATGAGAATGGGGGACTAAATTGTGTCACGTCACTAAACGGTGCTTCGGTCTTATTTCTCAGGGAATATCGCGAACAGTTTAAAATCTTCCCCTGAATTAGAGAAGTGTAATGCAATTACATGCAGAACGTGCTCAAGCTTTCCGGCAAAATTCACTCCGCGTATATTTAGCTCAATATGCATACTGCCGATTTATTCATTGTTTTCACGCTGTGAGATTTCATTCGATTGCTAATCGGGACACTCGTTTTACTCGACGTGAGCGATAATTGCAAATTTTGATCAACCGCAGTCTCCTTCGTTATAATTATTCTACCTGTGCACCAAGAACAATCGACTGCACGGTTGGTCAGTTGGCTCACTACTCACGCCTCTCGTTGCTATAAAAGATTGTATTAATGTAATATAGCATTATTATTATTGTTATTCGCAGATTTCCGCGCGGACGCCCCACGAGCCTTAAAATAAAAGTTAACGGACAGACAACGGCGAACGTCCGTTCATTCAATCAGCGGCGAAGTTAATTTTCGATGCCATTATATAAACGCTTCCTCCTC